AAATTTAAATTATTCATATTTCGATTAGAAAGAGATACGGCTTGCTAAATGCAACACTGTTTTTTTGGGGCAAATACTTCAAGACGCAAACTTTGAGAGTGAATTGTTTTGACAACATTAAAAAAAAAACATTACTAACATTGTTGAATGAGCAAATCTACTGTTTTTTTTTTTCAAAATCAGCGTCTCTCCACCTGTGGTACAAAATGGAAGACAAGATATCGTACCTTTCAAGTGCGCACGCGACCATGATTTCATTGTTTAAACAATTATATATGAAACGTAGAGGGCAGTCTTAATACTCATGTCATGGAATAAGATGCCAATACGTACAGTTTGAAGTATTCTTGTTTGATTTAATTATCTTATTTTCAATTAGTTCGATAATAAATATTTTGTAATATTTACGAGGAGATCACCACATCTTCCTAACTGATCGCCGGAGGGCGTATTTGTTATATATCGTAATAATAATTCCCCTTTTCACCATGCATATCGAGGAAAGGCGAGAAACTGCCACCCTATTTACAGTGTAGCAAGAATCCATGAACGACAACTCATCAGTCCACAGATAAGGTGTATTCATGATCAGCGCAATGAATCCTTAGGAGTAAAACAAAAATGCAGTACACACACAACACAGCCTTCCACCAGGCTAAACCATGGAATGTGACTTTGTTGTTGAACATTTGTATCATCATATGTTTAAGTCAGCAAGCTGTCGACAAGTATAGATTCATATGCAAATCTCGAAATAATCAACACTGCTATTACTGAAGCTTTTGTTTGAATGTTTCATTTTTAACGCCATATGTTTAGTTGTTTGTTAAATATTTCAATTACAAATATACCAAACGTACAAAACACATTAATCAGATACAGATTTGGAAATCAGATCACAGATTTTACCTATTTATACTGTCAATAGCTCGCTGAATAGACAAATATTTACTGGGCGAATATCATGACTCAGCACTGATGGTAGATTTGTTAAACAAAAAGGGAGGTCCACATTTATAAATTGTTGATAATGTCTCCTTGAATTTGTAAGTTCTTGAAATTTTCTGACTTTATTAACGTTGTTTAATGATTGAAACTAGTATTGTAGATTGCATCCTCGCAAAAATATATACTTATTAGATGAGTATTTTCAAACACATTATCTGTAATATTGAAAATGCTGAAACGATCGTACCTGTGCAAGTGTTACGTATATGCTCTAATGAGCCCAGTCGGTTGAATTACAACACGCGGTTTAAAAGAGTGTCAATACAAATGGGGTGTATTTTTCAGCACAAAACTGCTAACTGAAGATGAAAAGTGTAGTTCATAACACAGCTCTCTCCAAAAATCAAAAGTCCAAGTATAAGATGTCTCTAAAAACTCCCTTAATTAGGTCGCCAGTTATATTGACAGTCAAACCCAGCCTGTAACACCTAAATTCTTGGTCGGTAGGACAGAACGCTTTTTTCTTTAAATGAGAAAATTTAGGCTTATTAAATTAAAGTACAACGTATCCAACAACCTAACGCAAACTAGTAAATTCAGTACCTGCCAAAGGTCCAAGGGTGCGACGGCCGACAAGCTCAAAAGAAATCGTCAAATAAAACTTGGTTGGCTTTGGTACTCTAAGCCAAAACCTGTCTGGAGAATATGATTCAGGAGATCTCCGAAAGGTTATGTGTTCTCCCTTGATGGGCATACAGCTTCAGCTTCCCATCTATGTAGGTAAGCGAAACTCGCTTGTCCTGTTAGGAAGGATTGTAACTTGTGTATAGTCTTGATGTGCTCGTGCCAAGTTTGTCTGTTTCACACTTCTCGAGTAGTCCAAAAACAAATTATCGCACAGCCAAGTTGTTCGAGCATCCCTAAACGAATAAGTGTCCCCACGCGTTGGGTTTGACAGTAACTCCAGCTCGCCAATTAGAAGTTCAAGAATAATTTCTTGACTTCATGCTGATGGTGTTACTTTCAGTATTTTAATACTGCTATAATTACCAATATTATTGGAAAAGTTGGTCAAGCTGAGCATTGCTTCTAAATGTACCAGTCCATCATTCCAAAACATGTTCAGTCTCGCTCACCATTATAATAATATTGTGTGACTATGTTTGCTAATGTTGTAAATAAAATGACAGCTTGGCGGATCACAGATATATTTAAATCTTTCCAAAATTATTTTCAACTTTCTATTATATTTGGAAAGTGTCTCTCATAACCCATTGTTTGCTAAACTGTCGAAACATTGTGGTTTGATTAGAATGTAAACGTTTTACTTTGTGCGTATTTTTCTTGTCTTTGTATCCATATGCACATGGTAAATATGCCGTTTATGAATATGGAACAATGTTGCATGTACATTGTAAATAACTTATACAATTAAGAGGTTCCGGAGTGGAAAACCTAAAACTATTGGGACAATAACGGCGTTTGAATCCATACGTGCTCGTACGTGTTCGCTGGCGAAGTTACGTGATATTATCTTTTTGTAAAAAAAAAAGGCTTTTACTAATAATAAGTCTTTTTGTCACATGACTGCTTGATTGATGTCCACGTGATGGCTATTGAGGATTATACAAAGTCTACCTGAAAACATAACTAGATTAATCTTACATGGATCGCTTTTGAGCGATAACATTTGGACAAAAACGTCAAACCTTCATTAAAATGCCCGCATAACTTTTTTATCTCTAGCACACAGCCACACGTACATACAAAACCGACCATTTCCGACATATACATAGCCACATTGGTGGAAGTGACGATACATACAAAGAATAAAATAAAAGCACAGTCCTCTGTAAAAGCATAATAAGACAGACTATTAAATATTTATTGATTTCAAATATGTACAATTACAAATAAATATCTTGCTGTGAGTGATATATCTTCCAATAAATAGTACACAATTCATTCTAAAATAAATAGATAGACAGCAAGTGCAATGTGTAAGTGGGTTATTTACATGTTATTTTAGACTACGACCAAGAGTTTAGGAATGCTACCATGATTGACAGAATCAGTCATCGTTCTTGAAATATCAAAAATAAGCTTATTAATTACAGCGCGGAATGATCACGTGATTGGACAGAATGTATCAGTTGTCTTATGTTATTATTTATATATATATATATATAATAATTTGAAAATAAGATATTGCAGACATTAAATCGTTTTCAAACAAGAAGTTATAGCTGTAGAAAATCTAATGTTATGGAATACATATTAAAGGATAGTGATTTTACACCCGCTAACTGATAAGTAAAGTACAGATAGTTCATATTTGGCATAACTACTCTGCGCATGTCTGTATAAATGTGATGTATTTGTTATTGCTATTTACATTGTAAGCGCGTCAATAACATTACATTGTACATTTCGAAAGGTGTTGACAAAATAGCTACTCGTGACTGCACATAATACGCGTGTGGTTAGGAGGAGTGTCGGTATTTCCTGTTTCACGCTTGTGGATTTCTGCTCTACATTTAATGTCCAAACAAATAAAGCATCGGCGATTTGTTACCAGTTTTTGCTCACAAAACGCCCTAAAGCGTTTCATTTTAGTTTAATTGATATATACATGTCAACGTGATTAGCTTTTTAGAGCGGGAGAAATCCTTGCGTAGTAGTGTTTAAGATGTGAAACACGACGCAGTACGAGGGTCGCCGCCATACGAGTCGCTACAGCCAGCGTGCAATAAAATGTCTTCGGAAACAAAAAAAAATATGTTGCAGCTGTATACGCCGTATGGAAACCATATCGAACCCGACGTAGCGCGACGAATGTGGCG